GACATCAGCCCCACACTTCAACAAGAGTGACACCAAGTCAGGATTCTGCAGGTCCACTGCAAGGTGGAGGGCAGTCCGGCCATTACAGGGCTCCTAGAACCAAAAGGAATTCAAGATGATTATGAGCTTGGGATTTCTGCTGTGAAGAGTTAGTTCAGGAGGAGGGAGCTGGTGCCTGACTGGCTCCTTCTGAGCAGGAAGCACTCACCTGTGCATTCACGTCAGCACCCAAAGACACCAAATGCTCCACGATGCCCAGATAACCGTGGATAGAGGCCAAGTGTAGACATGTGTGACCTAAGAAAGAAATATCACAGCCACTTATTTCAATCCTTCCATCTGGAGTAGAACCTTTCACCCACTTTTTCTTTAAAGGACAAATAGATATGGCTTTTAAATCAAAGTTTGGAATTTTTTGTATGTTATTTCTCAACCTTCCCAAGTCGGGAGTTTAAGCTCCTGCCTGGACTGCCTAACCTGTTGTTTGTTGTTGGCACCCCCTCCCTCCAAGTTACCTGCCCTCTTTGGTGGGGTTGGCTGACTTACCGTTGTAGTTGGTGGCCTGCAGGATGGCGTGGAGGTGCTGGGCTGGGCAGGTCTGTGTCAGGACTCCTACACTGGCCAGGCAGCCCTGCTCACAGGCAAGGTGTAGGGGGGTATTTCCTCGAAAGTCTCGCAGCTCAGGATCACAGCCAGCTCCCAGAAGAACCTGAGCAATATCTGGCTGGTTGGTGATCACAGCCAAGTGGAGTGGAGTCTACAAGCAGAAGAGGAAACACAGAGGATAAGCCACTGGCCAGACATGCCATCTGGGCTCCCTGCTCCTCCGGGGCCCTGTGCATCTCGTTTGGGTGTTCCTCCCAGGTAGAGGGAGTGAGGCATATGCCAAAGGCTTTAGGTGGGCCCTAAAACCAAAACCAAATCAATGGAACAGTCTCCCCTTTTTGGGTGTTTATTGATCCAAATGTGTAAGTGCAGCAAAGGACAATGACTTCTAAAATAATTCTTAAAGGAATCTGGGACAACTCTGTCAGTGTCACCCCATGTTAAGCTAGCTGCACTACAGGGTCTGAAAGGTCGCCGTGTGGGCAAGTGCACACCTGATGCAGGTTGTTCTGGAAGTTGAGGAAGGCCAAGTCTCCCTTCACCTGGCGGATCACTTCCATAGTCAGCGCCTTCTCTTCGTGGATGATGGCTAAGTGCAGGAACCTGAGGGGAAGAGAGGGAAAACCCCCCAAGGGTGGTGAGTGCACTGCGTGGGGCCCGGCGAGGCGCGGGCTGAGGGGGATTGCGCAAGGCCGGGGTTTCTGGAGGCCGAGGCCGCGGTGTTTTCCGCGAGGTTATTATGAGCTGAGTGTTCCTGGCAGGCGCCCAGGGACTTTCCGGGCCCCACCCCCTCCCCGCCGGGCGCCGGCCAGACCGCCCCGCCCTCCCGGGGCCGGAACGCCCTGTACTTCCCCTCGCGGCCCCGCGGCGCCCGCCAGCGGCCCAGAAACTCCCGCCCCCCCTTATGCAACCGGGGACTTCGCGTCCCCGGCAGGCCCCGCCCCCGGCCGGGAGGTCCGGGACGGGGACAAGGGTGCGTGTGGAAACGCGGCAGCAGAGCAGGGCAGAGGTGGCGGACCGCGAGCCCCCAGACCCGGGCCCCGAGTCCGTATGCCCCCCTGCGCGGACGTGCAACTGTGCAAGGTTTCGGGGTCGGTGCATAAACCCCGCTCCACGGCCCGTGTGCTTGCCCGGCTGCACGGCGGGCCGCGGGTCCCGGCGGCTCGGGCTGCAGGCCCGGCGCCCCCTCCACACTTCACCGCGCGGCCCCACGACACTTACGAGTCTCCGTCCTCGGTGAGCTGCTGCTTCCAGGGCTCCGGGCCGTGCGTCACCTCTTGTGGCTCGAGGCGGATCTCGCGCAGCTCTTTGACCATCTGCTCGTATTCCTCGTCCTTCATGGAGTCCAGGCCGCTGTCGTGGCGGTCGTCCAGCAGCCGCTCCTTCTTCAGCCCGTCGCGGGGGCCCTCCATGGCCCACTCTTGCGGGTGATCGGCGGGCTGAAACATGGCGCGGGTCAGCTGCAGGCGTTGCTCCGCGGTGCGCTCGGCGGGTGCGCGCTCCCTCGCAGTGTCGCTGGCGGGCGGGACGGCGGCTGGGACTGTTGTGCGCTCGGCAGCGCCGCCGCGGCGCTCTATAAACGCTGGCAGGGGATTTCTCCGGGGCGGGGTCAAGAGCGGGGAATTTCCAAGCTAGTCAGACCAGAAACGAGAACTGGCTTCGTCCTCGGCTAGGGGAAAAAAGCTGCTAAACCCTGTGTCGGGGTTCAACAGAGAAACTCCCTGAGATGAGCCACTGGGGTCATGTACAGGGAACTTTTTGATGAGCTCTGAATGGCTGGGAAATCCTCCCACCGAGCCCCCTCCCCCCAGGTACTTCCCTGCAGCCTGCACTCAGTAATCCCAGCCCTCTGCAAAAAACCTTCTCTCCCTGGAGTTTCCCTCCATTGATCTGATTTGGGGTCGTCTCCTGCTAAGATCCCAAGGACGCCGACGTGCTGGAGGTTCCTCCTTGGGTTTTGCCAACCTGCTGGTCCTTTCCGTTTTTTGAACTTTTGAAAACACTGGACTGGAAATGATGGCTGGGTGTAGGGATTCGTTTCCCCAAACTTCTTCATGCAAGGTCTATATCCCTTCTGTCCTCTGGTTCTGGGGCCCTTGTGTGCTCCTGCCAAACCCAAGCTCTTTGTAATGCAGGGACTTTTAGCACTTCCAGGTGGAAGTTGTGAACACTTTTCATTAGAAGCCTCCGTGCTGGCAGAACCCTCAAATAATTTTCTCAGGATTCACAGTCAGCCCTAGGGACTGACAGTGCTGGATATGACCATAATTCTTTTAAGTAAAGCCAGGTTTTAATATTTGTAATGCCTTGCAAGAATAACTGTCGAGAATAACTCTCTCTGATATTCTCTGTGTTCCCTGAAAATGGATCCTAAACCCCACTTCTTCATTGGTGCAAAAAAGAGTGAGGAAAATCAAAGACCGCAGGAAGCAGTCCATAGGAACTAAAGGATCACATGAACCACAGCCTCCAGTGGCCAGAGAGCAGCAACTGCATGGAGTTACCAACTCTGATCAGGGTCACAGTAGAAGGTCCTGGACAGAGCAGTTGAAGAATGTAGAACGAAAGTCAAAACCATAAAAGAAGGCTGGACTTACTAGTTTGATAGAGAAAGGTGCAACCCCTAAGACTGTGGCCCTTCACGCCTAGAACTGGATAGGCCTGTGAAGTGAACAGTACACTGGAGGGACGCGCTTCTCTGAACAGTCATGGACATTGGACCAAAAGGGCAGCATTTGCCCAAATCCAAAGGTCAGAAAGCAGGAAATGACAGATAATGAATGGGAAACTCAGGGAAGAAGAGTGCTGTTACATTTAGGGGATTGCAACCAAAGTAAAAAAACAAAATGGGAATAAATTGTTGAATGGGACTCTAATTTGTTTTGTAAATAAATTTTTATCCAAACCAAATAAAATGTTAAGCAAACAAACCAGTAACACCACCTACTTCTGGAGGTCCAGCTGGGTGAGTTTTTCAGAGGCTTGTGGAGAGAGATACTGAATAATGAGATTGCCATGAATTGAATCCCTCCGAATTACATGAATGGTGTGATATAATGTGGAAGTAATAATTTGTCATGATTTGATAAACCCAACAATTGTAAAAGGATTAAAGATGCAATGCATCATTCTTAATTCTATGCCCTGATCCTATATAAGGGGAGTTTCCCTTGGCAATGGCCTCTTAACACTTTCTATCTCAAAAAATGAGTAAAATGAGTCAAGATTGGGGCCTCAGAACCACTTAGAGAATTACCAAGAATGGAGTGAATCATTTGGATGCAGGTCCCTGCACTGGGAAGTGCCTTCACACAGGGAAAGGCCAAAGGTGGATCTCCAAGGAGTGTGGGTGATCTTCCTCCTAGATAAGCAGAAAGAAAATACACACACACACACACAAACAACTCTCCCCTTACAGCTGGCACCTTAAATTTGGAATTTTAAACAAGCTTCTCTTTCTTAAGACCATTTTTATATGCAGTTATCTCTGTTATAGCAGCACTAGATAACTTAAAACAGAGGTGAACCTATGTCTTGCCCAAGACTGAGCCTTATGGATGGCCGAGAAGGTGGCTGTTAAGTATCCTGCAAAAGCCTCTGAGACAGGCTACCCCAAGCCCTGCCCCTGGTTGCTGCCTCTGTGCTGAGGATGGCAGTAGTTGCTCATCCACCTTAGCATTCCAGAAAGGAAAGCTTTTGATAATACTTTTTGCTTACATCTGCAGAAACAGAATTTATTTTCCCAGCCCCTACTCTCAACTCCTAATCAGCAAGTTGTGAATTAAATTCGTCTACTTCTGGAATTGATCCTTAAAAAAAATCAATTGGTACAAGCAAAATAATGCCTTTAGATCAGACTTATTTGGAATTAGTCCTAAGAAGCCTCAGGTTTTGCATTTTATGTCGATTATTTCAATTACCTTTACCTTCACTGGCTATGAGCTAACCAGGCCATCTCCTCTCCCTATTGCATCCCCTCCCCCCTCCCAGTATCTGAATATATAGAATCTGGATGAGTGGGATGGGGGACTAACTGGGGAGGGGAGGGTGATATCCCTCCCCCTAAAATCAGAAATAAAACCTTTAGGGTAGCAAGCACAACATACTAAAAAGTGCCAGGGGTAGACTACATTGTCTGCAGACATATGATATGCAAATGAACAGTTACTGATGCAAGATGAAGCAGGGACTATAAGTAGATCTCAGCTGTAGTTTCCGCCTCTAAGTAACTGCATATTAGCTGAGATCAAGTAACTTTTCTGTGTATAGTGCTTTTAAATTATTTTTTAAAATTTTATTATTATTTTTGTGTGTACCGTCGAATCAGTTCCGATTGGTACAGGAGGAGATTGCCCCTCCTTCTCCAGTGGAGCATCTGGGGGATTTGAACTGCTTGCCTTCGGGATTGTAGTGCAGCTTTTAGTATATGTGCTTTTAAGAATGGTAGTGAATTTAATAATTAGTTAAAGTCTTTCCAAGTTTAAAAATTGTATTACGTTGCTACCAATGCAATGTCTAATCCTATGACCATATCTTTTAGAAATAACACAGTATAATTTTTTTAAAGGATTCTAACATTTTGTGTATCATACTGTTGGTTCTCAGAATTAGTCTTATGAGACAGGTATTGTTCCTATTTTCCTAAAAGCAAAGTGAAATGCATTTCTTATTTGGCAGCATCAGGATGGATGGTGAAGAGATTGAGATTATTCACAGCTTTACTTTGCTTGGCTCCACAGTCAACACTCTTGGCACCAGTAGCCAGGAAATTAAAAGGCGCATTGCCATGGGAAAGTCTGCTGTTAGGGACCTCTCCAAAGTACTGAAGAGCAATGGTGTCTCTCTGGAGACTAAGGTGCATCTGATACAGGCCATGGTCTTTGCAATCACTTGTTATGCATCAGAGAGTTGGACAATGACCAAGGAGGATAGGAGGAGAATTGATGCCTTTGAGCTGTGGTGCTGGAGAAGAGTATTGAATGTAACATGGACTGCTAGGAAAACAAACAGATTCATCCTGGAAAGGGTTAAACCGGGTGGCTCCTTGGAGGCAAGGATTCTGAGGCTTCATCTAACATACTTTGGACATGTTGTAAGGAGAGACTGGTCCTTGGAGAAGGACATCATGCTTGGGAGGGTGGAGGGACAGTGCAGGATGAGAAGACCCTCTATGAGGTGGATTGATTCAGTGACTGGGGTAATCGGGATGGAAGTGTCAGAGACAGTGTGATTGGCACAGGACAGAGCAGAGTTTAGGGCTGTTGTACATAGGGTCGCTATGAGTCTCAAGCAACTCAATGGCACATAACAACAACAACAACATGAACCATTTGGCCAAAGCAGTCATAGTTTTGACATGTTATGAAAATAGGACTGATGAGCTAGCATTTTAGGTAGAACAGAGTTTGTCTGAGAATATTAATACATAGTAATGTTAAATCTTAAATGGCTCATTTATAAAGGATACCTTATAAGAAGATTTTCAGCTATGTGGCATCAGGATTGGAGGAAGACTCCTCAACAAGCTTTGTTATGCACATGACACAACCTTGCTTATTGAAACTGAGGAGAATGTGAAGCACTTGGTGCAGAAGGTCAAGGACTGCAGCCTTAAATATGGATTGAAGCTCAACATCAACAAAACAAAGATTTTCGCCACTGGGCAGATTGGCAGCATCATGATACATGGTGAAGAGATTGAAAGTGTTAATAGCTTCCGTTTGCTTGGCTCTACAATCAACACAGTTGGTACCAGCAGCCAGGAAATTAAAAGATGGCTTTCATTGGGAAAATCTGCTGTCAGAGACCTCTCCAACGTACTGAAGAGCAACAGTGTCAGTCTGGAGACTAAGGTGCACCTGATCTAGGCCATAGTCTGCAATTACTTACTATGTGTCAGAAATCTGGACAATGAATAGGGATGACAGACGAGAATTGATGCCTTTGAGCTGTGGTGCTGAAGAAGAGTATTGAGTGGATTGCTAGGGGAACAAACAGGTTCATCCCAGAAAAGGTGAAACCAGGCTGCTCCTTGGAGGCAAGGATTCTGAAGCTTCATCTGATCTGCTTTGGACATGTTGCAAAAAGGGACCAGTCCTTGGAGAGGGACATCATTTTTGGAAAGGTGAAGGGAGAGGGCAAGAGAGGAAGACCCTCGGTGAGATGGATTGATTTAGTGACTGGGATAATGGGGGTAGGTGTGCCAGAGAAAATAAGATTGGCATAGGATAGAGCAGGGTTTAGGGCTGATGTACATAGGGTCACTAAGAATCGCAGACGACTTGACGGCACATAGCAACTACAATAACAACAACAGGTTTAAAAGTGGCTGTTAAAAAGAAAAGCATGTGTAAGTAAGTAAAATTTTCTCAGGAATAAAGTTACTGAATTTTGTACTGCTTTTTCTGATTGTATATTCCTGATGGTGTTCAGGACGTGGAGGGTTTATTCCCAACTGTGGCATAAAATGTACAGATCAGCTGCTGACAGAAAGTTTGGCAGTTTAAATCCACCAGTTGCTCCTCAGAGAAAATAGACAGTAGTCTC